CTCCCACCCAATCAGCTCAAACCCCACTGGCAGTTAAAAGGAAGAAACAGCTGCGATTGCACACTATTCCCAGAAGCACGAAGCTGAAGACACCAGCCTGAAGATGACGAATGTGACTTCGTCGAAACGTCGCCAGGACACTTCCAATTTTACGCGGGAGAGAACCCGAATGACCAAAGACCTACATACAAACACCCGCGAAAACCTCAGAAAACATATATATATATATATATATGTATGTATGTATGTATGTATGTATGTATGTATGTACCAAATATATATATTTGAAATAATTGAGAAGTTAAACTAAAAGCATATAAAAAATTTCTCTCAATGCTAACAGGTTTTTATTTTTAGCCTATCTAGAATAATTAGCAGTTGCTTTCAAAAATGATATTCTATTTGTAAACTGAGATAGTTTAGATTTGCTTGCCACCTTGGCAACTAAACTTGAACAAAGCAGTTGTATCAGTGGTAATAACTGTATTTTATCATGTTCCTCATATAAAAAAAATGATCACATTACATATTTTGAGTAACATGTTGTGTCAGCAAAAAACATTTCAAAGTAAATATTGGTGCACATTATTTATCTGATTTAAATCCAGACTTTTCTTTTGGGTTTGCCCTAGCTCACTTGGGTGACTTTTTAAATTTCATTTCTATAATAGACCTATGCTAGGAGAGAGTGGCTGGTTTAAAGTCCCTCTTATTCTCAACACAACTGCACAATATGTATGCATCAATAGGAAAAAATGTGCTTCATTTTAATTCTTTATTAAAATATCTATAATTTGTAATCACTAGACAGTCCAAAACAAAGCTATGAAACAGGAGAAAACTAGAAAGTAATAATAATAATAATAATAATAATAATAATAATAATAATAATAATAATAATAATAATAATAATAATAATAATAATAATAATAATAATAATAATAATAAAGTTGGAAGGAAGCTTGGAGGTCATCTGATCCAATCCCCTGTTCAGGCAGGAAACCATTTTTATACCATTTCAGACAAATGGCCGTCCAGTCTCTTCTTAAAAACTCCCAGTGTTGGAGCATTCACCACTTCTGGAGGCAGGTTGTTCCACTGGTTAATTGTTCTAACTGTCAGAAAGTTTCTCCTTAGTTCTAGGTTGCTTCTCTCCTTGGTTAGTTTCTATCCACTGCTTCTTGTCCTGCCTGCAGGCGCCTTGGAAAATAGCTTCACTCCCTCTTCTTTGTGGCAGCCCCTGAGATACTGGAACACTGCTATCATGTCCCCCCTCGTCCTTCTCTTCATTAAACTAGACATACCCAATTCCAGCAGCTGTTCCTTATATGCTTTAGTCTCTAGTCCCCTAATCATCTTTGTTGCTCTTCTCTATACTCTTTCTAGAGTCTCAACATCTTTTTTACATCGTGGTGCCCAAAACTGGATGCAGTATTCCAAGTGTGGCCTTACCAAGGCATTATAAAGTGATATTAATACTTCACGTGATCTTGATTCTATCCCTCTGTTAATGCAGCTTAGCACTGTGTTGGCCTTTTTGGCACCTGCAGCACACTGCTGGCTCATATTTAAGTGATTGTCCACTAGGACTCCAAGGTCCATCTCACAGTTACTACTATTGAGCAAGGTACCCCCTATACCAGTGATGGTGAACCTTTTAGAGACTGAGTGCCCAAAAACTGGCCTTACCCTTGCCCCACCCCTTCCCCCATCCTGCTCCACCCCCTGCCCCTTCCCCACTCTATGCCACCCTGCCTGGCCGCAGGGCCACTCACCGCCTCCAGGGCCCACCGCAGATCGCCCAGGCAGCCCAGCAGCACTATGGGAGCACACCCTCTGCCCACACCCTTCAGCATCAACTGTGGGTGTTGGGGTATGAGGGCAGAGTCTTGTCTACGCTGCCTGGCTGCCATGTCCTTGGCTGCACTGCTCCGCGTGGGCCATGCTCGGGGGAAACTCTCCTCCAGGGGGGTTGCTGGTGAGGAGGGGGTCATGGGGGGAGGCAAGGCTGGGGCAACGGCACATGTGCCCACAGAGAGGGCTCTGAGTGCCGCCTCTGGCACCCGTGCCATAGGTTCACCACCACTGCCCTATATTATATCTGTACATTTGGTTTTTCTTGCCTAAATGTAGAACCTTGCTTTTTTCACCATTGAATTTCATTTTGTTAGATAGCGCCCAGTGTTCAAGTCTGTCTAGATCCTTCTGTATCTTAAGCCTATCTTCTGACGTGTTGGCTATTCCTGCCAGCTTGGTGTCATCTGCAAATTTGATGATTTCCCCATCTATCCCCTCGTCCAAATCATTGATGAAGAGGTTGAAGAGCACTGGGCCCAGAACAGAGCCATGGGGCACCCCACTACACACTTCCCTCCATGTAGATGTGGTTCCATTGAGGACCACATGCTGTGTACGGCCGGTCAGCCAGCTACGGATCCATCTGCTGGTGATGTTGTCTAACCCACATTTTTCTATCTTATCAAGTAGTAGGTTGTGATCTACTTTATCAAATGCCTTACTGAAGTCCAAGTAAATTATATCCACAGCATTCCTCTGATCCACTAATTTTGTCACTTGGTCAAAGAATGCAATAAGATTTGTCTGGCATGATCTGTTTTTGACAAACCCATGTTGGCTTTTAGTAATGACTTTGTTTGCCTCTTTTTTTTCTTTTTTTCAAAAAGAGATGAAATATAGTAATACCATAGAGTGGCATACTGCAGGTAAATATACTGTGCATTATTACCAAGTTATGATCTGGAAGCCAAGTGATTATTAACAATACCACCACTAAATTGAATTGTTATTTGAAGTTAAAGCAATCCCAGTAAATACAGTACGCAGCAATGGTGTTGTTCTGCAAAAGCAAGAATGCTGCATTAGAGCCATTCTCATAGTTACACATGAAATGACTGTTTTCATTTCCTCTGCTAGCATTACCAGTATAAGAATCAACATTTGAAAATCATCTGTTCATCTGTTCATAAATTTAATTCAAATTATTATTTTAAGCTTAAATCAATCAATTGCAGGATGGAGCCTTTGTTGAAAGTAATTGTCTGCAACCAACTATGCCTGTTCAGTACAGGTTAGTAGATACATGTATTCTGAGGTTGAGACAGAGTTACCCAGTCAGCTTCTGTTCCCCCATCTTTCTCTGATACAGTTTATTATTAAAACTATATTTATAAATATAATCCCAAAAAGCTGCTAATACTTCTATTATAATCAACACAAAAATAGCAGTGTTATAAATTTTCCAAGTTAGAATTCATAACATTGTTAAATTCAAAGAATACATATGTGAACATAAGGGAGTTCTTTCTTTGAATATACAGGGAAATACGAACAGAAGTGGTAATTGTGAACCATTTGCAGCTTTTAAATTGGTGCAAGAAGACATAAAGAAAAAGAATTGATTTTGTCAGGTAAGTAATAGCAACAGCTGTTGTGCTGCTATAGTCTGTTGTGCTGAAGCAATATCATCCAACCGATAAATTTGGGATTACAGATCAACATTTTCAAGCTGTTCTAACTCTGAATGCGGGAGTAGTAGTCTCAAACTGATCTAAAGGACAACAAATTGCAGAAGATCATGCTTTGTCAAGAGAAAATCTAAAGTTAATAAAAATGTACGGAACAGTCTGTTTATAATTTATTCATGTGAACTAGCTATATAGTCTATGTCTAAATAAATTCTAATAGAAATGTGACATTTGTAAAGATAGCCACAAGTCCCTGCAATTTTCTTGGCAAGATTTTTTTTATCAGAAATGGTTTGCCATTTCTTTCCTTCTTTCTAGGACTGGCCAATTTGGTCTAGTGGTTAAGGCATCAGGTTAGAAACTGGGACACCAAGAGTTTTAGTCATGACTTGGGCATGAAGCCATTATGGTAACTTTGGGCAGGTCACTTTTTCTCAGCCCTAGGAACGAGGCAATGGCAAACTACTTCTGAAAAAAAGCTTACCAAAAAAACTGCAGGGACTTTGTCCATACAGTCTCCAAGAATCAGACACAATTGGATGGAAGAAAATATACAGAAAGGGAAGTTTTTAATTCTTTATTCCAGTGATTACCCTTTTTTTCTAAATTTAAAGGAAAAGAGTCATTAGCAAAATAGAAAAAAGTCAGTAGCAAAATATACTACTTCGTAAAAAGCAAGCTTATTGTTTTTCCTTCATTTAAGTGCTTTAAAATGTAGCCAAGCAGCTTTCAGGATGCACAATTGGTCATATTGTCACATGAGATTACAGATTCTATTCTTATTACATCAAAAACAGTTTTGTAGAAAAGATCCTATTTACATTCAATCAAATATTCTCCTATAATGTGAAATTACTAACATTCCATATAAAGGAAGGTGATGTCTATGCTTGTCAGGTAGAGATCTCTCCACACAAAATTCCTTTAAATAATCAATGCTTCTTCCTCTCAAAGATTGTTCACTGTTTGGTCAGAAAAAGGAAAATGGTACAAATAACATGTCTTCAGACCAACTTTCTGTCAGGCTTGCTGTGTTTCAACTAAACTTTCTCCTTTGCTTGTATTTATGCCAAAGAATGCAGAAAGATCTTCACTGAAACTATCTGCTCATTCATTTCAACAAGATTTGTATCTCAAGATCTTATTTCCCAATACTCTACATAGTAAAATATATTTTTCATATTATTAAAGTGAAAATCCAGTTGGAACCTTTTGATATATCATTAAATATCAGAAATGGAAATTCTAAAAGTGTGACTGGATTACTTACTTTTCCTACAGTGCATCTCAAGGAATATTGGAGAAAGTTATGCAGGTAATTCATAGATAGATATATTTAGTTATGCAAAAAAATGAAAAAATTGACGACACTGGAGCTTTTCTTTTTTCAATTTGACAGCTTCATAAGATTAGGATATAAAATTTTCAGAATTCTCAACATGGTCAAGAATTAGGGCAGTATCTGAATAGGTTTCATTTTAGCTAGGAACTTTATTTTGTTATTTCAAAAGGAAAATAGAAATCTGCATAAAGAAATAGTTCTATCTCCAATTAATTGTCCAAAAATTATTTATTCCAAAGGTTAGATTGTACAAATGCAAGCAAAGAGCTATAGCATATTAAATATATTACACCAAATAATGAAGAATAAATTTTTGGTTTATTAAAGTAAATAATTGGATTATATTAATTCAATCTTGATTCAGTCTATATACTACCTTTTTAAGATTGTTGTTACTTTAAATTATTTCAACAATTTGAAATTCGTTTCAAGTTATTTGCCAATAACTTATTGAATTCTATACCTAAACAGAATTTGATTCGCTTTGAGTTTTAACTGAAAAAACATTCAAAAAGGATTAGAACAAATGCAAAGAAAAAGTTTGTAGGATGCAATTACAATGCTTTCAAAATCTTGAAATTAAAAGTTCACTATACATCTGGCATTTTCTGCAAGAACTAAATAGAATCTCAGGGTAATAGTGCAATATACTTATATTAAATGTATGTGAAGTTGACATTTATTGAAAATAAATGACACTGAAAAAATGCAGACATTTATTTTCTGAGTGGCATATATGTTCTAGTTATGACTATTTTATTAGGATGTACAAAATGATTGATGCAGCTGTAATCATTTTGTCTCATGGATTCATCCACTGCTGGGTGAAAGTTACTCAATATAACACAGAAAAGCTAATGCATATATTGATGGCTAGAAACATAAGTTGTTGTGTTCTTCCATCTACTTTTAGAAATATTGTTTATTCCCAAAGGAATACTGAATTCCTGAGTTCTATCCTTGCTGATTTAATCTTGGAGGACTAACCCTTTCTAATTATTCTACAGATTGTCATATATTTTTAAAACAAGTCTCTTGTTGATTTTGTCAACTATTGAACCTATTACCTACTTTTTATTACTGGAGCACAACTTGGACTTCAAGACACTTTTATATCATGCAAACATTTTATTATCTATTTTTCACTTCAACCTCTAATACTATTGAGATTCAACAGTAGTTAGCTTTCTTTTTCTACTATCAAAGTCTATTCAACTCTTAGGCAGAGTTAAACAAATGTCTGTAATGTGAGATATATGGCAGCAAAATGTTAGAAAGGATAGCTAAGTCCCATACAGTTTTTCCTGAGCCTATTTAAGCTCATCTGTTGTCTTCAGGTATAACAATGAAGACTATCCAGAGAAGAAAGAAAGAAAGAAAGAAAGAAAGAAAGAAAGAAAGAAAGAAAGAAAGAAAGAAAGAAAGAAAGAAAGAAAGAAAGAAAGAAAGGAAGAAAGGAAGGCAGGGAGGAAGGAAGGAAGGAAGGAAGGAAGGAAGGAAGGAAGGAAGGAAGGAAGGAAGGAAGGAAACTTGTTAATTTACTTCACTTTTTTTCTCATGCGGAGAGAGAGAGAATCACCAAAAAATGTTCTTGGGGCCACTCTGAATCTTTTATCATTGATGTATGTTGGCACACATAAAGCAAAGTAATCTGACTGAAGTTGATCTGAACCATAAACAAAGATTTTAAAGTTCCAAAATGCATCACAACATCCAAACAACTTTCATTTGCATCTGTGAACACTTTTACATTACGCACCTCAGGAAGTGAAACTCCTAAAGGGGGTAGAGTCTGTTGGAGAAAAACAGTTTCAGCTACAAGTTTAAAACTGTGAAAACATACACAACTAATTAAAAACATTCTTGTAAAGGATTCTGAATATGCAGTCAATCTGTTGAACAAGTAAGCAGTTCCAGTATGATTCTTTCCATACATATTAAGTAATTACAGAATGATAACACAGGTTTATTTCTTACTTGTTATTGTTGTATGTATTTATATAAAACTATTTTTAACAATGTGCAACTTAGGATAAAATTAATAAGATGATGAAAAGACGATTACATCATAAAAAATTAACCCATCTACAAATGTCTGAAAAGAATCTACATCTGAGTTTTTGGGAAAATAAATCTAAAGACAATTTGGAGTTCAAGATATTTTATACAGACAGGTGGCTCTAAATATTACCTACAAAAATTAGGATTAGGCTAATAATAGTTCATTGTTGAGTATGACCACTAGTGTACTTAGTGAAGACAGTACAATAATCATAAAATATATTATTTTTAAAGGGAATTCGACATAAATAATATTAGAATAACATATTGTTCAAGTATTGAGGGACTAGACAGCAAATCAACATATACATCCCAGGTAATCAATCCTGCCTCATATCAAAGAACTATATTATTCAAGGGGACTATAAGTCCAAATACATTTACCAAAATTTAAGCATACCAATCAGTTTGCTCAGCTTTATCCAAAAGGATTCCAACCACTCTTATACAAATAGTTTCTAAAAAATAGCTCTAAGTTCCATTCACTCATAAGATAACTTATATTGGTTGCTCTACCCCTTTTCCAATTGTTCCAAAACAGGGCAAGAATAAAAGCATCATGAATACACACAAATTCATCATGATTTCTGTTAAAGTACTGTGAAAGAATGGTTTTTATACACTAAGGTACATAGATACACTAAGGTACAAATGTTTCTAAACATTTTAGTCAGAAAGAAGAGTCACGGGTACAACTGGTACACGTTTATGTCTTCAGATTGCTTACAGCTAAAAGACATGTAAAAGCACAAGCAGTTATTTTTATAGTTTTATGTTACTAATTGTTGTATGTGACATAAACTCTATTTTTGTTACTTTTTAAGCCTACAGTTGTACTACTTTGTTTTTCTATTCTTTGTTTCCCCAAATATTAGGCATAATTATTTGGAAATGTTTCTTTTCATTGTCTTATTCTTGTAAATAGAATTTTCTAAAAAATGAAAAGTTTAGGAACATGATAGGCATGTGCATGATTATTTCATTGAATCACAGTTCAACTATCACTTAAGAAATATGAATCAGGTCTCAATTTAACATTTCTCCAAGTTCTACCACTAAATTAGTGCTCATGTTGCACTTCCAGTTACATATGAATTGAAAATCATTCCATTATAACCTGTATCAAAATATTAGTTAATTATGCCCAGCAGAACTGATAAATCTGGGTAAAATTCAGTTTAATTGCTCAATCTCTATCCTTTTAGGCTCATTCTAGTATTAAACTTTGTCCAAACAAAGAAGTTAATAAAAGTTGCATAGCTTGGTCAGCTTTTGACTAGAAAAACAATGTTCGGAAAAAATGTTTTTCTGAATTTTCTGTTTTGAAGAATTATTGATTATATTGACAAATAGGACAGAGCAGTTGTAAAAGGGAAAAAAGGTGATGAAGAACACATCCATATATTGTATCAATGTCCATTTCAGTTGCATTCAGTTATATAAAATGAGCCATATACTGTATGTATTCATTAATAATCCTATTTATCTTAGGCCAATGTTCTGCTTTTAATGTTGTTAGAATGTAATTCTGCTGCAGTACAAAATATAGAATTAAAGTTTAAAGATATTGTCAGTCACCTTCGCTATAAGTGATCCTTTTATGGATACAATTAATTGGATCCAATGAACAATTTCAGAACTGAGTTATCATGTTCCCCCTTCCCATATAATTAGAACATAATTACCCACAGGATATCAGAAAGATGTAAAACCTTTCTTCTAAGTGCATCCTCATTAGGAAACAAATCTCAATGTACTCTTATTTGATCTCTGTAAATTAATTAAAATGTTACAGATATAAAAGGTGGATAGCAATAAACTGGATCTGACATTATTAAAAAAGTATCATTTGATATCTGCATGCGCAGTTTATATCTGAAAATAATTTCACTTCAACCACAAGTATCATAATATACTGTATATGTGGGGTAAAATATGGTAAACTCTCTAACGGAAGCATAAAAATAAAATCAAACACAATCTAACTAATCTACACAGTTTTACATCTTCCCTACTGAAGCACCATGCTGAAACATATTTAGGTGGCTGGGTATTCAAAATCATGGGACACCAATGAGAAAGCACACAATCTCCCCACATCAGACCCTCAGATTCTGCAGAATATAGGAAGTCACATATTTTTGACAATAGGAGGCATAATCTGATTGAAAAGATGTTTGATGCAAATTTGGTGTCAAACCATGCCGAGTTTAAAGTTGTAAGTAATACCTGAAGCCAAGTCCAGTGCCCCTAAAGTCCAATGTATTAAAAAAAAACTGTGTTGAACCTGATACTTCATTAGTAGATAGGCTGCCACATTTTGAATAAGAAAATAATCTTCAAGCCTGTATACACTATGTTACAATATTCTATGTATGTAATTGTTGCCTGGCAGATTTGATGAAAATGGGTTGCAAATAACATATTCACTTTAGTATGGATCATGAACCTGGGAGGACCTTGGATCTCATCCAAAAGAAAGCTGGAAACCATGATCAAGTCAGAACTATCACTAGCAACTTTCTCTTGGTGGGATTAAACCTGGTGTCTGATGACTATGGAGCTTTTTTTTTAAAAAAAGACACCAGACCAGGATTTCCATTGCATCCCTGGCCTGACTTGGGCTAACAAAATAGATAGGTATCCTGACCATATTGATGATATATCATACAAAATCACTGACTTCTCTCAATGGCTTCAAAGAGATCCTAAGTAACATGGCCCCCTTGGGGGCTCATACTGGAGTAAAAATCATTCAACTGCTCTTTTCCTCAAACAAACTGATTGGAACTGTCTGTCTAGGAAAGAACAGATAAACTGTAATTCATAGCCTCAGACTATAACCCTTGCTGCCAATCTGAAGGAGATATAATTTAACCAGAACCTACCTCAATTTTGACCCAAAGGCATATGTGTATCGCTGCCACCACAAAATTAAAATTAGGTAGGGCATGGACCAAGGATATAGATAGATTAATTCTATTTACATCCTTGGTCTCCAGAAGTTTAATACAAAAAAAGATCCTGATCTTATTTCAAGTGTCTATCCAATTTGGGTCAAGCAAAAGATTTTATCTGCAAAATAACTCACACATATATCACAGTATCATATAGAAGATTCTTCATTCCATTTACTGAGTAGGGAGTGGGTATCTGAAATGAGCCCCTAGATATGAATTGGCAAGTGTAGTAAGAATACTTTATCATGTTTAACACCACAGTATACTTTCAAATATGGTTATCCATCTGCGACTGATGGAATTCATACTTCAAATTTCTTTACCATCACACTAGTTTCTCTTTACTCATTTCATGTCCTGCAGCAACTCAGAAAACAAGGAATTTCTTTTGAAATTATGGTGCTATAACATTATGCACAACATCAGACCTAGGAGAAAGATGTTGTTTGGTCTGAAATGTGTAACTCAAATGGAATGTCTGCAAATCATAGTCAGGGATTCAAACATCACTTAGAGTGAACAGAAACATCAAGATGAATCCTAGTCTGGAGTTTAAAACAACAGAGGCAAACACTACAGATTTAATGAAGCAGTTGAAACAATAGTAAAGAAGTAAGCTAAAGGTCAGGAGTTCAAGGAAGAGGCTAGAATAATGTTTAGGACTTATATACTGAAACCTTGTAGGCTTCACACATGGAAGACTACAATACATGTTCCACAACATTTTTTTTAATCAAGATTTTTTTTAATGCAAAAGACTGCACTTGAACTCAGTTGATTAACCCTTAATGGAATGTGTTCTGTTTTCTGCTTGGTTCAGCATTGAACAGGCAGTAATAGAAACAAGTACTTCTTTATTGAAGGTCAAAACAGAAACTAACAAGCATTGATCCACCCCTATTTATACATTCAACTCTGGGCAGCATCAGCCAATGAGAGCATAGTATTCTCCAGCTCAAATGCATAATAAACAGTCTTGTAGACAGCAAGTCTGGCTAGCAGGCCACTGGTCTGCTAACTGTTCCTGCACAGATCTCAGCAACCTGTTCCATAATTTAACTCAATACATTATAGAATGTAACTTTGTCAGGAAAAAATATGACTCTAAACAAGTCTTTATTGTCAAAGAGACTACGATTGAATCCTTGCACTTCTGCACTATTACTGCATTATCCTGCAACAATGCCATCATTGTGGAGCGATTGTCTGATCTACAGGTTTGGAACATGTTGGAAATGATGTTGTCCTGGTCATATCTTAGAGTGAGATTTTTTCTTTTCTTTTCTTTTCTTTTCCTTTCCTTTCCTTTTTTTTTTTTTTGACTCTATGGTTTTCTTCTGTAACATAAAAAAGGTTTCCCCCTTTTCCTCTGAAGAAGATTCCTCAAAGAGCTTTGACAGGAACCCATTTAATAATGACATCATTACCTATGTCCAGATGACATCCGCTTACTTTGCAAAGAGGAGGTGTAGTGAATGCTATACTAGTTATTATGAATCAGTCTAGGAGTAACATCACTTTTCTATTTTTTACAGAGCTTTTTGTAAAATTTTCCTCAGTATTTGCACCACTAGCTATATGGTTGAGCAGAGCACTGTTGTATCTGTGACCTGAATTAATTTATGCTATAGGATATAACATAACCATATTGGCTGTATGATCTACACACACATCTTGAATATGAAGGATCAAGACCACAAGAGAACTGCATAGCAACAATGCATAATATATATTTCTTGTACTTTAAAAAAAACCCATAAAATTTAAAATCGTCATACTTAAAATGAGCACATTTTAACTGTTCACTGTTCACTTAAATATATGTGACAGAAAACAAAAAAAGCTAGTTTGATATTCCGTAGTGAAGTTAAAAACCTGGCAAGTGTATATTATGCAGCTTTGCTCATTTATTCAAAATTTCATATTTCCATTTGGTGAAGACGTGTTTCCTAATGTTAAGCATTATATACTATTGCTAAATAATATGCTATTCCAAAAATACAGAATAATTTATCACATAATTAAGACTGATTTTTGCTCCCAAAAGAATCCGGTCTTTGGAATAAATTCCTATTAGCTTTAATACCAGGCACTGATATTCAAGGCATCTTAATTCTGATTTCCATATGGAAGGGGATATCATAAGCTTCAAAGAATATATTTGGTTATAGTTGTTTAGCCAATTGAATTCTATGCAACTGAGACAAGTGACTTATCAATATCTCCAATTAAGTACTCCATCAGACTTCAATTAATTATTTTAGGATAGCAGCATAACCTGATAGATGGATACAGAATCTTAGTAAATTCTTTTATCTCCCCATGATTACCATTCTTAAATCAAATTTGTTGCCATGCAATTATATGCTGTACTCAGAATACCTGTGTTCTTATATTTGCAGAGATCCTGGCTGTGATTGGATTACATTAGTTTAAGCAAGAGGCAACTGGACTTTCTTTGTTTTTCCTTGAAGACATTTTGCTTCTCATCCAAAGAGCTTCTTCAGTTTTTTATTTGCCCATTTAAAGCAAGCTTCTAAATCTAATCCCATAGATTTAGGGTTATACATCTACAAATTATATTTACAATAGTCCTCTACTTATAACAGATTGTTTAATGACTATTCAAAATTACAATGGCACTGAAAAAGTAATTTATGACCATTTATCACACTAATGATAATGCAGCAACCCCTGTAGTCATATGATCAAAATTCAGAAGATTGGCAACTATTTATGACAGTTGCAGTGTTCCAGGGTCATGTGATCAACTTTTGTAACCTGACAAGCAAAATCAATGGGCAAGCCAGATTCACTTAGCAACCATGTTACTAATTTAACAACTGCAGTGATTCACTTAACAACTATAACAAGAAAGGTCATAAAATGAGGCAAAAGCTACTTAACAAATGTCTCAGCAGCAGAAATTTGAGGCTCAATTGTGGTTGTAAATCGAGAATTATCTATACTTTATCCATGGATTTTATACTAATTACATTGACATGACTTAAGTGTAACAGTATAAAGTGTCATTTACAAAATGCAAAAGAAGGATTTATACTTCATTGCAGGCCAAGCAACTATAGCCATCAATTTGCTGTGTTTTTCATGGTGATTTCTTTAAGTCTTGATTTAAAGATTTAAGATTAAATTCTAATATCTTCTCTCTTTGTGTATTCTGATATGGAAAAACCTTTGTAGCACTGATCACAACATACATTGCACTGAATAATTATTTTGTAGAAAGTGAAATTTATTGTTTTAAATAGCAACATAAAAGACATAATGTGGATAAATTGCTTGCTGCAAGGACAATGTCATTATTCTAGAATGATCCTGGTTGACATCTGAGTCCTCAGTATTAATGTCAACTCCAAACAAAATAAAATTTTAGAAATTTAAATATTTTGGGAAGCTGGTTCCATAAATGACAAAAGATATATAAATATTTTGCTTTTAAAATGGCTGTTAAATTTAAGTAGTGAAAGCACAGTAGGCTTTATTTTCACAGAGCAGACATTCTTTTTGTGGGTTTGCATTATACATTTGTTACTGTTTTGTTTGTTTTCATATCTAATGACCATAATGAGCAAAATTCAGATATGGCCCCATCACAAAAACAGACAAGACTATTTAATGAAATTTCTTAATTTTGTTTCCTTTTGGGAAAGAATTACTTGACTTGCAAAAAAACAAATGCCTCTAATTCTCAATGTTTGATTAATTTTGATAGTATAGTCAGAAGAGTATTTAGGGATTAAAAAAAGCATTTGAAAGGCTACTATGACAGTGATGTATGAAAAGAACATTAATTTATTTTTCATATGTTGTAATTTCCACTGCTGGTGAACCACTATTTTGTTAATATTTATCTATTACTAGTAAAAGTGTATGGTGTAGTTTTCATCAATCTTCACAAATCAATTCTGGTTTATAAAGATATAAACGCAATATGATATGTTAGAATGTACAAGAACAGTTTACCAGTACTACTGGACAGATTGAGGTGGGAGGTAGAATGTGATCCTTCAGAATGCCACAATCACATTCAGGCTTTAGATGTGAAGCACACTTATTATGTAGCTGTAACAAAAAAAAAGAGATAAAAATATCACTATGGATTAAACATTAATGAATTTAAATATGGCTAAAACAAGATTAGAATGTACATTAATTTATTTTTCATATGTTGTAATTTCCACTGCTGGTGAACCACTATTTTGTTAATATTTATCTATTACTAGTAAAACTGTATGGTGTAGTTTTCATCAATCTTCACAAATCAATTCTGGTTTATAAAAATATAAGCGCAACATGATAGGTTAGAACATGATATGTTAGAAGATGATTAGGGGACTGGAAGATAAAACATATAAGGAATGGTTGCTGGAATTGGGTATGTCTAGTTTAACGAAGAGAAGGACGAGGGGGGACATGATAGCAGTGTTCCAATGTCTCAGGGGCTGCCACAAAGAAGAGGGAGTCAAGCTATTCTCCAAGGCGCCTGAAGGCAGGACGAGAAGCAACGGGTGGAAACTGATCAAGGAAAGAAGCAACTTAGAACTAAGGAGAAACTTCCTGATAGAACGATTAACCAATGGAACAACCTGCTTCCAGAAGCGGTGAATGCTCCAACACTGGAAGTTTTTAAGAAGAGACAGGACAGCCATTTGTCTGAAATGGTGTAGGGTTCCTGCCTGAGCAGGGGGTTGGACTCGATGACCTCCAAGGTCCCTTCCAACTTTATTATTATTATTATAACAATCAACAATCAAACAAATGCAACAATCACAGAAATCTATGTTTTATTTTTATAATTATAATATAACTGATAAAGGAAGGTTATAAAGTTGGCTTCTTTAAAGGCCGTTGTTAACAAACAGTTGATGACATAACACTAAAAGAGTTACATCCTATTCTATGTTTTCTTATATTTTCTATATCATTTGTTGGAGTGTATGTATTTCTGCATAATCTATCTTTTTGTATAGAAGCTGTAGTCAATTTACATAGGGTTAGTTCATTTAACACAAGGACAAATCTATGAGATACATTGGAATGACAGAAAACAAAGTGACTAGTGAGTTTTTATGGCTAAGAGACACCTATTCTTATCCTACCATGCTAATCTCTGGTTAGCTGGTTGTGATGATTAAAGCAAAGGATTTTTTATCTATTGTAACAAACTGAAAAAAAGCTGCTACTCAAACAGAATCCACATGCCTTCTATAAAAGCAATAGTACTTATATACTGCTCCACTCTTTGAGCAATATACAAATGTCAGCATATTGTTCCCAACAACCTGGGTACTCATTTTACCAATCTTAGAAGGATGGAAGGGTGAAGCCCAAAAAAAATAATCCCCTTGCATTCTAGTAATTGCTTTCGAGATAAGAATTTGAGCTTTTTCTCAATAACAGTCATTTTTGTAACTGTTGTTGCTGTTGCTGCTGATGGTAACATGTTAGAAGTAATATTTTGTTTTACGTGTATAGCTAATGCTATCACCCTTGTGAATAAATAACTCACAGACGGGATGAGATTGCTGCCAGTCCCACATTTTTCATCAGCCAACTGGATTAAATTTTGTGTACACAAACATTGTTACACATACACAGATATACAGAGAAAGGAGTGAGGAAACAGCATTTATAGATCTTCTGGATATGCAATGGTTTATACAATAATATTTCCATATCCTAGTTTAAATCAATAGGAAAAAAATAAAACTTTCAGAATTTATTGTTGATTAAAGACAAGTAAACAAATGCTATTAGCACATCTTAAACATGTTTAATGAAGAAGTAGTCCCATAATTAAACCTTTGATTTTTTTTTAAAAAAACTGCAATCTTACAATAATCCTAAAAATGTCTATTCAGAAGTAAAGCCTGCATAAATCAAATGAAATTATGACTGAAGTAGTGCATATAGTAAACTCACTTATCTGAAAAAAGTCAAATACTATTCACTTAAATTGAGTAAATAGAGAAATGCATTATAAAATGTTTAAATATGTTATATATATAAGGAAATTGGAAACAAACCTTTTGACAACTTTTGATCATATATAATGTTGTTTGGGCTTTCCTTCTAATGTATGAAGTTTCATTGATTTTATTGTATTTATAGTGTGGATATTTTATTATTTTTAATGTTCTATATTGTCATTTTGTTTTAGGGATGTAGAAATATTTATAATAAAGTAATAAAATAAATAAATAAACAAACAAATAAATAAATAAATAATATAAAAGTGAACTATAATAGCATTAAATGTCTACCACATTAATATCCAAATAAAATGATTGGGAAATAAATAATTGTTGACTAACAAGAGGTGGATAATTTAGCCTCTGGGTTCATTTGCCATTAATTAGCATAGTTTTATATCAATATTTTTTGCTATCAGATATGCCGGTTTTAATTACTGGGAAATATCCTAACAAATTAGGCATACAAATTGGATGTTTCTCATTTGTACAACATAGTTAATAGGGAGCACATAAGTATTTGCTTTAACAGGTGATCTTCCTCAATACAGTAAAATATGTTGTCTAGCAGCTGTTCCATAAATCACTATTCTCTGGTTTGAATGAATGATTTAATTTTCTTTGGATAATTTATCCATGTTTATGATACGAGATTGATATATCAAACTTATGATATATTAGTTTTAATATGAAATATGCACCTTTTGCCAATTACATATTCTTTAGACAGAGATCTAGCAAAAGATAATTTGACTGCTATATTTTTGAATTTGAAAATGATTGGCAACTAATAACACCCCTGTATACATTAATCATTCCTGCAAAAATACTTTTTCTGGCAGTTTCCTAGCAACAGAAAAGAAGTATAGCATTTTTTTTCTCCTCAAGTACCAAAGTTTTATTTGGGTTGTCCTATAATCTAAAACATTTTTATGTTAATTCTCATTTGTAATAGTGAAACCACATTTACCATAATGAAGGTACATTAAGTCATGTACCATCCAATTGAAGCATCGTTACATATGAGGTGATAATTAACAGTTCTTCTACTTAGTAGTATGCTATCAACAGCTTAATCTCTTATTAGGCAGTACTGATCTTTGAGAAAACAAGTAAGATGTAAAAGGAGTTGTTTAACATTAGATTACAGAGTGCATAACAATATCATAGAATAACATTACAGAAACACATGGATTATCTCATGAAGAATATGTAACTGCAATTAGTGTTTGTATCCCAAGTACTTAGGATGTATTTTTTATTTTTTCAGAAAATCCTTTGAATGTTTTCTTCCTAATTTATAAAAAAAACATATATTTTAATTATTTTTATTTATTATTCTTAGTCCAAGGCATTGACCACCAGGTTCTCATACAATATTTATTTCTACAAAAAACTATAAATATTGTCTGGGCTTCAAAAGGATTCTTAATAAAAAATAATAATGAAGAGCGGAAATCCAGTGATGTATTTTGAAATATTTTAGTAGATGGCAGAAATGGCAAAGTTATCTGCACTAGTTAGGGACAAGAATGTGAACAGCCTAGGGACAAGAATGTAAATAGTTTTGTGGTTACTTGCTTCTGGACTTTCTGTGTGAAAGAGGGCGGGGAATGAAATGTTTGCTTTGGGTTTTGACAATACTGTTATAGAAATGGCTAGTAATTACTATTTGGTATAACTTACTGCACTAAAAAAGTATGAAGTCACTGCTTCTTGTTTCTTTTTTATTTATTTTTTATTTACCTTCTCTATCCCTTTTCCTTTTCCTCTTTTTTTAGTCTTTTTTCTATTTCTATTTTATATTAAGAAAAGAATATATATATTCCAGTAGAGATCATCTTGGATATCTCCAAAAAATTACCTTGGGATCCATGAGGCAAATAGGACATGTAGGTTTTTAACCTGTGCTGCCTTTGTGCATTTATTCTGATGTGGAAATGGCAAGTATTAGATTTGTTTGAAAATATTATTTTAGGGTGCAGGAATGCTATGTATTTTGTTTGACATTTGGTTATGTGTTACTGTTTGATTTCTGTATTTTATTCGTACTTTATTTTTGTCTTCTAGATATGTATTTATTATAACTATGGATGATTAAAGCAGTCTTAGAGCCCTTTTTGTGTGTGCAAATGAGAAAGTCACCTGTTAAAGTCAATTTTTAAAAATCCAAATGAATTAAGACTCACCTTAGCAACAAACCAAGGTTGCTCCATTTTTTAAATGTCATTGTCATAAAGAATTTGTGTCATCTTACGATTGTACATATGCAATTTTTTTTACTATTTACTATTTTTATTTTGGTGATAACATTTATGGATGTTTATTTGTTTATTTATCAGTTCTATTTGTTGCCACTATTAGAATATCACTTAAATTGTTTTTAATAGCGGTAGCTAGATACAATGCTATAATATCTCAACTTTCACTATCGCTATTATTGGTATTACTGCTAATACTTACTGTGGTTTGGCACCATACACAATGTAACCCAGTCAATCCTTGGTAACATTTAATAGTTTTATGACATTTATCACATTTTGTTGGACAATTTCCTTCCACCCAAAAGTGATGCATAATCTAGAAAAAGACAAAGGAAATTATTTTTACCCAATTTGTACCAATTAAACTACTGCCAGATAAAGAAATATTATGACGTTCAATAGTTAATGCACTGAAATAAACAGCAGATGAATATCCAGGTGTTAAAGTGTTTAAAAAGTAAAAAAAAAACCCAATACACCTTACTAAATAGTAGAGCTCTCATTTGCTTTCCACTATGTTTGAAGAAAACATTTTCCAGATAAAATTATTAATCCTGAGGATTTTCTCATTCATCTTTCCCAAAATGGGTCTCATGAATAACAGCTCCAAAAAAATTACCTTGAATACTTTTTTTTTAAAGGATTCTATACTTCAGCTATCCTGTAATGTTTAAAGTGTAAAAGAGTTAAGTAAGAACTTTAAATTGATGTTGTAGACCAGAGGTCACCAAACTTTTCATGCTGACGGTCCGGACAGAAAAGGAGTAGCCATTTATACAGGTGTGTGCACCTGTATAAATGGTGCCATGTGCACCCACACAGTGCTAGTGGCCTTGTTTGTGTAGGCGTGCAGGCACTAGCTACCGTTGCTAGCCCCGTGTGCATGTGCAAATGGGCCGTGCAACCTGCACGGTGCAAGCAGCCCCGTTTGCGTATGTGCACAATACTAGCTGCCACTAGCCCAAATGGGCTGTGTAATCCATGCATGCACTAATGGCCCCATTTGTGCAAGTGCTCAAGTGCTAGCCACCACCGCTAGCCCTGCTGCATGCACAAATGGGTCCATGGGCACTAGAGCGAGTGAGGTTGAGAGCCCATGGCCCATGGCCCGATGGCCAGTAGGCCGTGGCCCACGACCAATGGGCTGGGACCTTGTTTTAGACAACATTGCTTCCCCAATAGCAGCAGAAAAGTATTTCTTCTTTTTTATTACAAAGTAGATACCATTGCGGCTTGTATTCTTCAATCTGTATTTTTCAGTAATATGTACAGTAATTCCTCAAAAAACATGCAAACTAGCAATTCTGGGAATTCCAATTCTAATGCCTTTAGAGGTCCATACTTTCAGATATTTATCAATTTGTTCAGATAAAAATACAAAATCTAGACTTGTATTTCAATATGCATGGGATATAAAGAAATCTCAAACTGGCTATCAGAACTATTCCTAGGAAGGCATCTTGAGCAAGAATGTCCAAGGGCACATCCAGATAGCTGCATTAAGTGTAACTGTCCACACCATGAGCTGACATAAACATATGTTGAATGATCATTGCTGATCATTGAGGCTGGGGTTGCCCTTATTAGTTTAACATGCAACAACTTAATAAATGTAATTTGTGGATTTATTTTCTCTTCCATCAAACATCACTTGCTGATGAAGAAAACAATCACCAATGCTCTCCATAACATAAGGTAGTATACAGATTTGGCAATCATACGTAAGTATTTAGAATAACTGGCATAGTCACGCAATCAAGTTGCCACACTATTAGGTATCAAGTACATAGATTGTACTTGCATCTGGGCTAGTTCTGAATACAGGTTCAGAATAATGACGAAATTCATGTCCAAAAATAGCAGGCTGACAAGTCACGATTATGGAAAAGAAGAGTGCCACTACAACCAAGTTGTATAACAGAACAGGAGAAATGGCAGCACCAAGAACTAATTTCTGGAGTAGGCAAAAAGTTGTAGCCTTTGTCCTCCACCAGAATAATAAAATAGTAAAAAGTAGAAGCCACACAAAATTCCTTTATCAGCAGAAAAATGTAATGCAGTCACTGGTGACAGAGTTGACAAATCTGGATTTTTTTCCTAGTCAGTTGACTTTCTGTGCAGCAGAAGATTAGCTTTCAGAGTTCTGGTCTTATTTTTAAAACATGGGTCTTGTGCTCTCTTGAAGGAATGCTAAATTGTTGTATATAAGGAGGGAAATTACAAGATCTAGCAAGCACTTCAAAAAGCACTGGTCAGATATTAAGCAGACAGATACTCTGTAGAAGCCTGGCACCCAGCATCTCCTGCAGCCCAAACCAAATGCACATAGTGGTCAATGTCCAGAGACTGGAAGAGTAGAAAGTGAAGTTGAAAGTGACCAACAGAAACCAGGTATACTCTAGCTCCTGAATGCAATCACATCATTGATGATGAAGCATGCTAAATAACATCTATAACAAGTTTATGTCAGAAGAAGATTGAAAACAGTTTTAACCCAAGAAGAGTAAAGGGCTTTTTTAAGCTGCCTCAGCTGAGGGGTGGAGATGAGATGAAACATCATTATAAAAAAATGAATGCTGCTATATGTGACTGTCAGAGTTATGGAAGCATGAGAATTAACCCCAAATCTCCAGGAATGTTAAGTAATGAAATCATCATGGAAACTTCAATGACATGTATTAGATTAGTGCAAAAGCTCATAGAGAATGTTATATAGCTACTTAAAAAGCTATCAAATCTATATTTGGCATACATAACTTATATATTCCTATACAAATATAACTTGCCATACATATATAAGTAAATTACAGTTGCAGGTGCCTTGAATATATTGAATCAGCAACACAGAGATGACAAATCTGGATTTTTCCCCCCTAAATTTGACTTTCTGTGCAGCAGATTAGCTTTCAGAATTCTGGTCTTATTTTTAAAACATGGGTCTTTTGCTCCTTTGAAGGAATGCTAAATTGTTATATACTGTATATACAAGCACACAGATATACAGAGGCACAGAAGAATTCCACAGACATGAATGTCAGCTTACTTCAGTATTCTTTTTTGATTTCACATATGTTTTGATACAAGATGCTGGTGCTCTTGAGACACATCGCTCATGGACAGTGTACTTGCAAACTAAAAGAAAAATGTAGTTATGAAAAGTTTTGCTAAATAAATATGAATTTTCAATGGCCTATTCACTACTCATTCTTCTACAATTCATCTACAAAGAATTATATCCAGTTAACTCTAAAAGAGAAAAGACGGTCCAGTAAAGAAAATAACATATTAGCAGAGTTGGAGAAGAATCTCAGAGTACTCTTTAATAACAACTTTTGATTAAATCAGCTCTCACTAAGCTGTTCACAATAATTCCTAAATCAAATCAAATAAATAGAAGAAAATTAATTGGCAAATGCCAAATGTTTTCCTGTTATCTGCCAAGATGAAGAAATCTATACTTTCTAAACTATAGGCATGAAAGCAGCTGGTACAACTGAATATGAAGGGCAACGAGTTTGTCTTTCTCTAAATGGCTAATTAGTCTTGTTTCCACATAGTAGTTTATTTATTTCTTTATTTTTGATTTGTTGTCAATATCGTCATTTCAGAAAATTAATTCCAACTATTGCAAACTTTACTATTTTTAAAGAAACACAATATCATCTCCATTTTCCATTCTGATAATATTCAGATTTGATTTCACAAAACATCAGCATTATATTTTTGAATTGATGAAAGTTAAGATTGATGTGTCTCTGTAACAAAGATTTAATACTATATTTTACAAAGAGTAATGATGTTACAACAACTGATTTTGTTTCAGAGGAATCATTGCCTTATTAATGAAGAAACAACCTAAATTAAAATAATAAAATAACATGAGATAATAAAATATATCTTCATATTTACAAATGCTGCTGCCTTTTTCTTCAACTGAAACTAAAGAAACTAAGGCACCAGGAAGAGTATCCAGTCTTTAAATGGTCTACTCAGTCACCCCGACTCTATCCGAATTAAGGAACTATAGAGTTATAAAAAGAAAAAAAAACTAAGGAAAGGCTATACAATTAAACCTAATACTATAGAGAGTTATTAATCAATAGCCCAAAGAAAGCAATAGTTTATGGTCAGAGAAGGAGATACTTAAATTCTCCAGAACTTTTTGCTCACCCAGTATAATAAAATTTCTACCAATATCTCAGAAATAATAAATTTACTATTTTATCTGGTAATAAGGATTCAGAAGTTGCCCATAGATGGTTGGAAGGTACTTAATAGTACCTTTTGAAAATTTTAATTTTTAAAAATTTAACACAACATCAAACAGGAAGATGAAAACAGAGAAAGAATATAATATTTTGTTCAACCTCTTTCCTTCCTCTAGTTGCATTCTAAAGTGGATAAGACTGAAGATGGGCAATTCTTCAAGTGTCTGTATTCAAGCAAATTTCCCTGTGAAACTGCATTTTAAATTGGTGCCATTGCTTCTAAGAATAGATGCATTTTTATCTATATCTGTACCAAAGAACAAACTCTGCCTTTTTCATGCTTCATCAGGGGAATGGCATGGAGAGCATAAGAAATAAAGTTATCACTAAAATAAATAAAAAAACAAAAAAACAAAGCTAAATGAGGGAAGTAAGTGCCATAGAAAACTATGAGCTATGTGAGATAACGAGAAATGCTTCAATGGACAGATTATGCTGAGTTTTTATATTAATTTGATATACTATATTATCTTAATGGCAAAACACACCTCACTGAAATGAATCTAAGCTACCTCACCTGTCCACTATTAATAAGCATTAAAACCTGCCTTTCTTTCAAGGAGAATTTAAGAGGAGATTTAGAATTAGAAGGTTATATACTGTATGTCATTGGCTTTCTGGTGTACCCAGCTAACAGACAGATTTTGAAATTGGTAAGATGGAATTTGTTATGGAATAGGGTACAAATGATGATCATATTATTGCTAGAATCTAAAAAAATCTTACTAAAATGGAAATAGGATGAACAAGTAAAAGCAGTATGATCTGGGTAAATTTTTGATACAATATATTTTTCGGAAATGTTACCAAAAGTAGGCACATTTTTTATCTTTTGTGGACATGTAAGAAAGCTAGAGTATATTGGGACGAAATCAGTGGTGGGATTCAGCCAGTTTGCACCAGTTCAGCAGAACCAGTAGCTAATTTTTTGTTGTCCAGGCCCAGAATGGAAGTGGCATCCACCAGATAATTGGTTGTTCACATATTTGAATCCCACCACTAAACCAAATATATATTCTGATTCTGAAGATTTTAAAGATAAACGTACGACTGAAACCAGAGCCTTTCCTTTGGGGGTTAATGGATAAACAGATTGGGAGATGTTATGGAAATTTGTTTTTATATGTGATAACAGCAGTTAGATTTGCTGTGTAAAGATGAGAGGATTTACAAAAGCCTAAATTGGACAAATGGATAATTATGATGGAATTGACAGAGATGGAAAAATTGACAGCCTCCAGGACTGATCAATTTTAATTTTACTTGGAAATCTCTCTTGGACTTTTTTGCAAGAAACTGAGAAAAATTAAACTTTGATTTTGGTATTTGATTATTAGAATTACATGGAGTTATAAAGTAACATAGTCTACTTTTAATTTTAGTTGGTTGTATTTTTATCTATATATGTACCAAAGAAGGCTGGAAGTTATTCCTTTTCTTCTTGCTTTACTTTTTCTTTCTGCATCTTTATTTTGCTTTTTGTCTAATCTTTCATTTTTTTCTATTTTTTTTCTTTGCTTGTTTAATTTTGTTCATGTGGTTGAAACTTAATAAATTGTAAATATAAAAAGTAGCATTAAAAGAGGACTAGAAGATGTATATTGTTTTAATTTTCTAATGTGCCTGTAAGTAGAACCTGGTTCAAGAGCCATTTACAGTACTAAGATATACAGCACTTGGTCCTGGAGTTTGAGTACCAGAACTGAACTGAGCTCACAGACTATTCATGCAATAATTTGCACTAATGAAATTGTGGAAGCTACCTTCATTTCAGAAGTAATTAAGAATAAAAGGAAAGCTATTTTGTCAGTGCTGCTATTAATTCAATTAAAGTCAGAAACGTTTCTTCTGCCCATCTTTGCATTTAAAGATCAGGGAATGAATCATGATGGGATGGAGAGAATAAGAAATAAACTTATTGCTTAAACAAAATAAATAAATAACAAAGCTAAATGAGGGACCAAAAAAAGAAGAAGACTGGAAATAAAGAAATACAATATAAGGTAAAACAAATCCTGGCAGATGACTTACTTAAAATCTGATCTGAGCACTTTAACAAATATAGATATTATTTGTTAAATTCCACAAAATAAGGCAATGGCTGCAACTTGCAGAATTTTGATTTCGAGCTCAGCAGTAACATCTAAATGCTAAAATATACCAAGTAAGAGATATTGGTTTTAGTCCTCTACGTAGCATGATACAGGACCTACTTTTTGACGGGCAGAATCAATTTTACTCTGGCAGAGTAAAACTTAACTGTAAGCCTTGTCCCATATAGTTTGCTGAATATGATCTCTAGACTCATTAATATATTTTTCCCATATGTGTGTGTGTGTGTGTGTTTGTGTGTGTATTTGTTACATCCACACAAATCAATGTATTGTAATTGTTTTATCTGTTTTATTGATATGCTATACTGGATATTTACAAAGGGTATGAACAACTGCACACAAACATTTGGGCAGCACCCAAATACAATATTTATCTGCACTTTCTCATTTAAGGCTACTCACAATGGTCTAGTCTAAAAGCTCTTGATCCAAAAATCCCTGTGCCTTTATCAATCATTTTGTCCAGGTAACATTCAGAATTAACCAGGATGCATACTCACATGAACAAGAGAGACCCTGTTTGCCTAATCCTATGAGCATATTCAAACACAGATTACAGTAGGCAGGCTTGTTAAAGTGTTTTAGTCTCCATACATGCTGCCCATCATCCTTCACATTCTGCAGAACACATAAAAAGAAATGGATTTCATTTAATGGCATAAACAGAAAAATCTTTAAGTGCCAATAAAAATTGAAATTGACTCAAGAACATAAAAGACAATCTGCTTCTTCATTTATTAATTTTCAAGTGATTACAACATAATTTTTCCAAACAGACATGTAGAGATATGATAGCAAAATGGGAGATGCGGGGGAGGGGAAGTGGAGCTGAAAACTCTAAAACTTTTAGCATTAATTGTTAATAAAATGATTTACCCAGGTAACATGCACACAACCATATCCTAAATGATAGACTATTGTATATGTTTAGGGTTTATTTGGCTACAGCTACAAATTCAAGGCCCCCCTGCTGCTTAGGGCTTTTTGGGAAAAAAACCCGCATTATTTTAGTATTGCCTTTTATCTTTTCCATAGGTTATGAATGAATAATGATGAAGATTTAATAAAAATAAAATTGTCACATTTTTACTTAGGTAAAACTAAGTACAATAAATAAAAAGTCAAGAAGACAAGACTTTCATAATAAAGTATCTGTCTATTAAACTGAACTTGAATTTGGGGTGTGAAAGGAATGCCTTGGGGCCATCTGCCTTATCTCAGTGTGGAGGGAGGAAACAGAGAAGACCTAACAACCTTGAGAGAGGTGCCTTATCCTTTCGTTTCCCACAGCTCAATGACACCTATTGATTGGCCTGTTTGAACCGGCTGGATGGACAGTTGGGATGAGGTTATGATTTTGCAGATTTTACCTATTCATTCGGGTGGGTTCCTGCCTAGCATTCCTGCTGTCTGTATCTGCCAATAAAAATTCCTTTTGAAATGATACAAGTTTCAAGAGTTCTGCTTTCTTGGTAGGGAAACGGAGGCAGGTCCTTACAGAATGTGTATTTATACTATAACTATTAAGTGCTGCTATTTATTCAAAAGAATGACCACTATACATGAACAGAACATATGGACCAATCTAGTTGGCATAAAATACAATATATTCATTTAGAAAATTTACTAGACTTCTGGTCAAGGTGTTACTCAAGGGACAATGGTCTCTAGAACTGCTTACAGGGACTTTTTTCAACCAGATCTTTTTTAAAAAAAAACACCTTGTGTTTTTACATACATTCTGGAATTTAAAATTATTATTTTATATAACATTGTATTATTTTAATACAACAAAATGCTATCTTTAACCCTAGCATGTCTTATCCCATGTCAGTGTGGGTCTTCACTACATATAGATTTTCTTTATAAATTCTCTTAAGTAAAATTTTAAAATCATTTGCCCTGATCATTATTAAGGTCAAGTGCTTTAGAACAGGGGTCCCCAAGCCCCAGTCCATGGACTGGTACGGCCAGCAACCGGTCCACACAAACAAGCAAAGCCCTATCTGTGGGATGCAGGCAGCACACAAACCCATGCACTCTCCAGTCCATGGAAAAACCTTTCTCCACGGAACTGGTCCCTGGAGCCAAAATGTTGGGATCTCTGCTTTAGAGAAATGAATGTTCCATAGCTAAGAAAATGGAAGCACTTTCACTTTGCTATGTTTATCTACTGAAATAAAAGAAACAATGCAATTGTTAATGAAACTAGAATTTAGACTGAAGGTTAATACTGGCAACATATAGTAATGAATAATTTTGGAAAATCAATGAGTCCTACCAAATTATGGAATTTAACATTTTATAGATAACACTGGCTTTATCAAATCTAGGATTCAGCAAAGGGATTATTTTACAAAGTAGAACAAATATGCTAATGGTGTTAAAGAGTGGATTCAATAGTTCCCTATTAATTTTTAAATGCATTTACATTATAAAAAAGAATATGAAGGAATACATTTCTATATGCTTTAGATTTAATTATATATGAAAACATTGAGTTAGATCCATATCATTATTATATTAAACTCTTTTTTCTTCAGTTTTAGTTCACTTTATTGCCCACATAGTCAATCTTTTTTAACTTTTTTTAAAATGTATTTTGTTATATAGATTTTATATTCTACTATTTCACCAAAAATATTGTTTTACTATAATATACATTTTAGTTATGTATCAACTTTTTAAAAAATGTTTACAAGCAGTCCCCAGATTAAAAAGAGTTTTCATTCCTAAGTCTGTCTTTAACTCATATTTGTATGTAAATTGGAACTGGTATTTACAAATGGATTCCTTATTATTAAAAATGGCAGACTGCATTTTATTTCCTTGAGCTAATGAAGCTCTGAAACTATACACAGTTTTCAAGAACTGCTGAAAACCACTATAAGTAGGCTGTATATTAAAAAAGCACAGCTTCAACTGTTCATGAAAATATTGTACAACTTTAGTCATTTGTTGCTCAAGGAAAGAGAATACTATCACCATTTTCGGTGATAGAAAGCCCATTGGTGGGTAGTGGAGTGCCCCAGGGCTCTGTTCTGGGCCCAGTGCTCTTCAACATCTTCATCAACAATTTGGATGAGGGAATAGATAGGGAACTCATCAAATTTGCAGACGACACTAAGCTGGCAGGAATAGCCAACACTTCAGAAGACATGCTTAAGATACAGGAGAATCTGGACAGACTTGAACACTGGGCGCTACCTAACAAAATGAAATTCAATGATGAAAAAACTAAGATTCTACATTTAGGCAAGAAAAACCAAATGTACAGGTATAGTATAGGGGGTAGCTTGCTCAATAGTAGTAACTGTGAGAGGGATCTCGGAGTCCTAGTGGACAATCACTTAAATATGAGCCAGCAGTGTGCTGCAGCTGCCAAAAAAGCCAACACAGTGCTGGGCTGCATTAACAGAGGGATAGAATCAAGACCATGTGAAGCATTAATACCACTTTACAATGCCTTGGTAAGGCCACATTTGGAATACTGCATCCAGTTTTGGTCACCACGATGTAAAAAAGATGTTGAGACTCTAGAAAGAATACAGAGAAGAGCAACAAAGATAATTAGGGGACTGGAGGCTAAAACATATAAGGAACGGTTGCTGGAATTGGGTATGTCTAGTTTAACAAAGAGAAGGACGAGGGGGGACATGATAGCAGTGTTCCAATATCTCAGGGGCTGCCACAAAGAAGAGGGAGTCAAACTATTTTCCAAAGCGTCTGAAGGCAGGACAAGAAGCAACGGACGGAAACTAATCAAGGAGAGAAGCAACCTAGAACTAAGGAGAAACTTCCTGAAAGTTAGAACAATTAACCAGTGAAACAACTTGCCTCCAGAAGGGGTGAATGCTCCAACTCTGGAAGTTTTTAAGAAGAGACTGGACAGCCATTTGTCCGAAATGGTATAGGGTTTCCTGCCTGAGCAGGGGGTTGGACTAGATGACCTCCAAGGTCCTCCTCCTCCTCCTCTTCTTCTTCTTCTTCTTCTTCTTCTTCTTCTTCTTCTTCTTCTTCTTCTTCTTCTTCTATTATTATTATTATTATTATTATTATTATTATTATTATTATTATTATTATTATTATTATTATTATTATTATTATTATTTTGCCTTTCTTAACCCAGAGATTGTAATCTGCCAAATGCCAATACTATAATATGGATTTTTTTGTATACTATCTCATATTATAAGAACATATTCTGTTTAGTTCCTTCCGGATGGAAATAGTTTTACTTGTTACTTGTTAAGCTTACTGGAAATGTGCTTGAGCCAAACTACTACACTAAAACATTTAATTCATAGCCAATTGACATGGATTTGAAAGCATTCTTGGTAGCAAAAATGTTTTGTGCCTCAAAAATATAACGCTGGGATCATGCAATCAGTTATTTCCATATCTGAGTGTTCAATCTCTGAATACATATTTGGACACTGGGACATTATATACTGAAGTTAATGGTTGAGTTATGTTTTCCTTTTTCAGTTTAAGTTAAGACTGTTTATACAACTTATTCACTTAACTCAACAGAAACCTTGCAAAGTGCATTCAGAAAAATATAATGAACTCTCAATTTAATTTAATACAATTTATTTGATTTGGTATGGCTCCCCACTCCAGAAGACTCTGAGTGGCTTACAAAATCCAAAACAATTAAAACTGTTAAAATCCACATACACAACTTTGTAACTTGTGTTACAAAGGTACAAGTCAACTTCTTTTTTTTTCAACTTTGAAAAAAAGGTAAATAGTAGCAGGATCTTCTTTACTTGCTTTAAGAGATGAGCAGGCTGAACCTCAGGGCAGGACTAAACATGTCATCAGTTTAGAGTCATTGTATTTCCACAAGAAACCCCAGTCCAGCTTTCCGTGAATTCCATTGGCCCTTTTCTATCAATTTGGCTTGACTGTTGCAGGTCAAATTCTTTTCCTGTTACTTGCACCTGATACTTGCTTTTTTAAAGTTATAAATAGTTTGGATGGTACATGTGGGTACCACTCTGCAGATTCTAATAGGTGTTTTGGAACATCTGATAGTGCTCCTATGCAAATAAACTTGGGGATATTGATATCAATGGGATTCAGATGTTTGTATGTGTCTCTTTGTTATGTGTGTCTGTGAGTGTGCATAAAATACTGTTTCAATTCTGTAAACAGGGTACTTTATTATATTGTATGAAAATTGCTAAGGAGGTTTTACTATCATGCTTTACATTTAGTATTATTTCAAATAAAAATAAAGAACAAGTTCTTTTAGGTTATTAAAACTAAATCTTAATATTATACAATAATAAATATATATATATATAAGGTCCAGTCATTCTAGGTTATACATGTGTTAGCATATTATTTTTATTACATCTTTCTCTAATAGTTTCTGAAAATTCTCTAAAAGAATTGCAGATGCTCCCTCTTGTGGAAAACCCAAAGAATAGCAATGAAGCAATATGTTCTGATTAAGCAATTTTTGGCTATTTTGTTCAAAGAGAGAGTTTGGTCATTAGCTTTCGTACCCTATTAATTTTAACTTTTTTATCGATGTTTCCTAGTTTTCTAAAAAAGGATACTGATGAGAATAAAAGTAATTTGTTATAGATTGAATATTGGCTTCACCACTGCCTCCCTCCCAATTAAAATTTTGTGAATAAATGAAGTTGTAATAAATATCTTGTCTGGACAAACTCTGTGGTCTTTCATTCCTCACACTTTTAGAATATCTGTGGAAAATCTTCATCACAGAATTACTCATTTTCAAACTGGAATAAAAAGCACATACTGCTAACATTTTTCAATACTAAACAAGCAGTGTTCATAATATTTACTATATAATATATAAGCCTTAGGTATTTATATTGAACATGTAGACATTACAGTGCTTTAAATATATTTCCTGCCAAATGAAGTAGGACTCTCCATTATTCTAGCCAAATTTATGATCTAACAAAGCAGTGTTGATTGAGTGTTCCATAGGGAATGCACATTGACAATCATTGTGGCATTAATCTTGCTTAGCTAGACCATTCTTTATGGACCAATTCAGCTGATTTTTTTTAATACTTCGGCCTAAATTTCCATAAGTATTTTTTTTCCTTTTTAAAGACTTATCTGTTTAAAGGTTCATTTGGCTGATTATAAGATAACATCACTAATGTATTTCTTACAGCTTTTGAAATAACACATTATTATAGCAAAATACTGCTGCAATTCAACCCTGACATCTAGTGGAGAAAAGGTAGTGGAGAAAACTCAGTTGAAATTCCAAACATATTCACTCCAAAAATTACTGCGCTTTTTTAAAAGCCATATATTATTTTTTACCAAACTAAAATAGATGTTTTTGAAAACTTGTGGAGGATTTTCACATAGACATGTTTAAGAAATAAATTAATAAGGAAATAGGCAGCTCAGAAGGATTCTGAAATATACACAGAGAGACATAAATAAGTCCAGCTCAGTGTCACAAACACATACATTATTATTTCATCAACTCTCAAACAAATTTGGGTGGATTAAAACAAAAAAAGGCCTACTTATTAAAAGAAAATACAACAGATCAGAAGAAACAAAAATTGTTCTAAAAGTGCTATAGAAATTGAATAAATGAATGAATTAATTAATGAAACCAAGTGCAAATTACAACACTAAAGTCAAACTAAAAGACCCAAAATAACATTGTTGGACCAGCGGCAGTTTCTGGGTGGCTTTCAAGGGCAGCAGAGTACAGTGCATTACAGTAATCCAAACATGAGATGACAAGTCGTGTATCTGTATCTGAAGGTTCTCCTGTTCAAAAAGGGTACAACATGTGAACAAGATGTACCTATCTTGGCCACAGCTTCTACCTGCTCACTTGACTTGCCAGGGTTTCAAAGGTATAACTGTATTTCGTTTGCATATTTATGTTTAACTAGAGCGACATGGTGGCTTAATGGTGAAGACGCTTGCCTCCCATTCGGAAAGTTAAGAGTTTAATCCTAGGTAATGGCAAATGTTTCTTTCCTAGGACGCAAAGAAAAAATATCTCTTGTAAACTCTGTGTGGCATAGGAAGGCCAGTAAATGCTCAGATCCATCCAGTCACCCCAACTCTACCCTAAATTAAGGGATTACAAGGTTGTAAAAAGGGAGTTTTTTATTTATGTTAAACCAGCCAATTATGTCATCCAATGGTTTCCTGCAGATGTTCATCAGATTGGGAAAGAATGTGGAATAGTTTTCCAGAACTATTAGTTCCAGCCTTGTCTGACTCTCTCAATTTGACCCATCCACTCAGAGTCCAACTCAAGGCAAATTCAAGTGATATTATTTTGTTTACTTATATCCTGCCTTTATTGTTTTTACAAACAACTCAAGGGGCAAATATATCCAGCACATCTTCCTCCTCCTATTTTCCCCACAACAACAACAACCTGTGAAGTGAATTGGATGAAAGAGAATAACTGCCCCAGAGTCACCCAGCTGGCTTTCCCAGCAAAGGCAGGACTTGAACTCACAGTCTCTTGCTTTCTAGTTTGGTGTCTTAACCATTAGAACAAACTGGACTTCCAATTGGCATAAAAATCATCCCATACAAGATCACTTGGTCCAAACCATATAGCCTCACTCTATGGCAGGCATGTCAAACTCGCGATGTCACATGACGTCGCGGCAATGGGGTGGATGCAGTTTTAGCATAATGCATCCGGCCATGGGCCAGCAGTTTGACATGCCTGCTCTATGGCATGTGAAATTCAAATGACTGTTCTTACCCAATACATTAGGCTTAGTGTAGTGTCAGCAGTGAAGAAGACCTTGCATGAGCTAGGAAGTGTAACCAACTTTTTAAGAATATTGAATACTAATAGAGATTTAGTATCTCCAATATCTCCAGAAACCATATGGAATCAACAGTAACCTAGGTGGGCATTTCTAATGGTCTTATTTCTAACAAAAATCTGCAGCAGTTGTATTCTCCAATACACAGCTGCCACACATATTTCATATAAAAAGCATCACTTCTGAGAAATGCCTTTCTACTGTTATTTTGTCCAGCAAGGATGCCCATTGTCAAATTGATTAGCCTTCATATAATTGACATTATTTCAAGCAAAGAACTATAAACTGGCTGGAACCCATTAAGATTTTGCAGTGTGGAAGCCTTAGTAAATAAAGTAATATCATTTTCAAAAGAAACGTATTTGATCTCAATAATTTCAAATCAAAGAACTTGGGCATTTGTCTAGAATGTAAATTGTGTTTTTCTACTAGCAAGTAACATCCAATATATTTGACTATGTAAATAAATTGAGTTCATAATGCTGGAAATCTCACAAAAAGTTGAAGAATTTATATTTGTATAAGGAAGCTTGTAAGGATTTATTTAGTAAATATGAGGAAAAATGAATATAATTAAGTTTGTGAATTTTGATCTGTGTGTTTTCTATTGACATTTATTAATAGCATAGTAGGAAAAATATGACAGTAGTTGCATTATGTAAATATGATTTAGTTAATTAATCAATTAAATGCAATTGTATTGAATTTTAATTTTATTCTACATCCTAATTGCAGTGGTAAGGGTGGCATATCAGTGCAATTATAATAATTCTTACTATTATTATCAGTTAATTTTGCAGCTGTTCTGCAGACAGATTTTCCATTTATTTCAGTATAAGCTTTGCCTGCTGAGAAAATGGAAAAGTACAAACAAAAAAGAATAATTAAAGGGCTATGAGAATAAAAGGTTGTACATGCTTTTTATTTAAACCAGTAATAATATATATGCCTCAATTTATATAGTTTATATATCTCAAAAATGCGATGCATTGGATATATATATCTCCCACTAATAAAATTCACATTTTAAAATAAATAAATTATGAGTATATGTGTGTAAATGTGCAAATAATAAAATGTTCTTTTATGAATTATAGATCCAGAATACTTTTGAATTTAATCAACCTATTTCAATCAACCTGTTTCAACACTTTAATATAAAACCTCAAATCAGAAGGATTCTGGTTCAGAATAAATCAATAAATCTGGTTCACTATAAGGATAACCCACTTAAATCTTGAAGTCAGATTCAAATGGAAATAGCCAATCCAATTCAAGTAAATCTGGACCTGATTTGATTGGACTCATTTTCAAGAGCCGGAAGTGGGGGAATAATATTTGTTCTACCAATATTTGCTTGAAAAAACAGAAATGGGTGTTAAAACGTTACATAAGCTAGATTTTTTTTGAACATGTGATCGAACACACAGACTTTTTATATAGATATCTATTAGCATTTTCAAGCTATGTCTATTTTGAAAATAAACCCTGCAATTCTAATTCTTTAGAAGAAAAAATATTAAAATCAATTCATTTTTTAAGATACAGTTTTTCAGATTTGTAACAATAGTTATTTTTGGATAGCCGCCATAATACAGTTTAAACAGGGAGGTTGAGGACTGTACCAGGAGAAGAAATATTTCTAAGATAGGGTTATCCTTTTCTTTCATGAATTTAGTATTTATTTATTTGTGCATCCAAAATGCTAGAATGCATACATTTTTTTAAGTTTAAGAGTTTATTACCACTATGATGAATCTTACATTCTCTAATCCAAGCAACACTAAAAGTGGGATCGTAGTCATTCCCCCCTGGATCCATTCTTCCAAGGAAACTGTGCCATCGTGATCATAATCAATTTCTTCCATCATCTCATGAAGAATCTGATTGAATTAAAAAAATACATTTGATATAAATAATATGTAAAAACTAATACTTGTTTCACATGAAAATAGAAGACAATGTGTCATTAAACATCACTAAAATATTCTCATATTACCAAATGTCACAAGATTTTATAGACAAGAATATGTGATACTGAGGCAAGAAAACTTATTCTGCATGAGTTGGCATTCTCATGTAATTTCAGCCTACGTGTAATGTATACCTTTACCATCAAAACAAATTGCATGATGCCACCTAAAAAAGTTTGTCTATCTCTGTTGTAGCAGTATTTATTTAAATATTACTCTCTAAAAGTAAAATAGATTTTATTAGAAGAAATATGGTTTAAAAAACCCTTAAATGCTTTCAAAATACACTATACAATATTTATATACTTAATGTTAGCAGAGGAAAAGTAATTTTCAATTAAATTAAAGTGGGAAGGTTGCCTTGATGTTATTTTACCACACTCAAATTCAACTTACATGCTGAAAAAATAAACTGGATTGCAAAATATGTAGCAAATATGTCTTTCTTAATCTGTGATAAAGGCAAAAATGATTCAATAAATTTCATCCAAGGTGTTTTGCACGTAATCTGTGACAATTCTGCATAGTAAATATATAACAACATGAAAAAAAAACCTCTTTGTATTCTTTTTAAATTAAAAATTTACAATGAATTGCAAGCTGCATTAAGTGCTCTGGCAAAAAACTTGTATGTGCATATCATTTGTAAAAAACTAATCAAACAAAAATAGTTTAATCCTGTTTACTACATTCAGCAACTGATCAGCAAACTTTCCACTTGAAATTTCTTGAATACTTGTTCTGCTTAAATGCTTTTGTTCTTCTGCAGTTGAATTGCATAAGAATTAATACAATCCATTTTATTTTAAGAAAATAAATTCTGTTATTGATTGATCAGGTGATGCTTCTTTGATTGCTCATCTTTATTTATTTTCAATATTCAGGCTCAAACATTTTCCCTGTTTTTTGTAGTCCATTTCAACATGGAGTGCTTTTTTTGTCATAGAATGCATCGGAACAGAGTTCTGGCACCTTTTTTTGACAGATTTTCCAAGTTTTATAAATAACTTTTGAAAATTTGATGTTTGGTCCATGTGGACTTGAATCACCCTGTCGAGAGTAGCAGGTCGGTGGCAAAATCATTAAAACGGTGCATGCGGGCTGCTTGTGTGTCGAGTTCATTGCATGCATACTTCGTTTGCGCTGGTTGTGATGGTGCTGCTCCGCTTGTGGCAGTGCTCCGCTTGTGACTGGTCGTGTGGTTACGTGCCAAGTGCTTATTGCGGGCGGAGACCATTATGTTTCATTACACAACTGGTGTGTGTGAGTGTGTATACAGTGATTGACTACATGCGAAAGATAAATAATTTCTTTATTTTAAAAAATTGGTGGTGAATTGAAAATCTTTTTGTAATTTTTAGTGTAAAATTTACTATGAACACTTGCCTTAAATACAATAAATTATATTTATGTTAAGAACTGAATATATAATTTTTAAAATAAAAGATTAACAAGATGTGAGTTCCGGCACCTTTTTTCTTACAAAAAAGCACTGGAAATAATAATAATAATAATAATAATAATAATAATAATAATAATAATAATAATAATAATAATAATAATAATAATAATAATAATAATAATAATAATAATAATAATAATAAAGTTGGAAGGGACCTTGGAGGTCATCGAGTCCAACCCCCTGCCCAGGCAGGAACCCTACACCATTTCAGACAAATGGCTGTCCAGTCTCTTC